CCGCTCACCAGGCGCGCGGACAGCGTCAGCCACGCGGCCTGCAACCCGTGTGTCTTCTGCGCCGGTTCAGAGGCCTTCCTACGGCACGCCAATGGCGATGGGCGGCTCTGACGTAGAGAAGGAGCCCTCGCCGGTCCCGGTGGCGCAGCGTGATCTGCAGAGTGCATTTTTGATGCATGGTGACAGCAGCAGCAGCAGCATGACCGCGTCTTCCCTCACCCCATCTGACAGCTCTGACTACGATGAAGAAGGGCGACAGGATAGCAACGACGACAGCGACACTGCCCTGCAAGTGCTCCCAGTGATTGCAACAGAAGAACGTGCTCGCGCATCACACGACAGCGATGGCGAGGGTGCACATAAGAGTCCGTCCAATACGTCAGAAGCGGAAAAGGTAGAAGGCGGTAGGGAAAGGATCAGAAAAGACGGCGCGCAAGACATGGAAGCTGCTGAGCGCAACGACGACGAATACGAAGACTCCTTCGTCTCCTCTTCAGTGGATGATGACATTGGCAATGATGATGATGTTAATGATGCCCCTGAGGACGCGGAAGCGGAGCCACCTGCTAGGCCCAGCTTCCCTTTACCAGTGCCCTCACCGGCAGAGCCACACGATCGTAGCTACAATAAGCTCCGCAGCGACAACGCAACGAATGCCCTGCTGACCGCGTCAAGCCTCACCAGCAGCAGCCGTGACGCGCTGGCCGCCACGCAGGCAGGAAAAGAGGTCACGGAGTACTCTCTCCCGCTTCCCCTTTCCGTGCCAGTAGCGCGCGCCGTAGCAGACCCGCAGCCCAGCAGCAGCGAAGAGGACGAGGATATAAAAGAAGAGGGCGAGGTCGGTGAAGAGGAGGGGGAGGGGGATCCTCACGATCGTGCCGCCTCCGCCCACAGCAGTTCCGCGCCCCCGACGCCCGTTTTGCCGATTGCGTCGGAAAGCGACCGTTTTATGAAGGCCAGCGACGACAGCGCGAGCTATGTGTTTGCAACGTCCGCGAAGCGTGAAAGTGCAGAGGAAGAGAAGGGACAGAAGCTGTATGCCCCGTCAGAGCCTAGTCACAACGCGCCATCAATGCCGCATACGTCTGCGCCACCGACGGCGGTGGCAGCAAGCGAAGAGGTGGACGATGAGGACTGGGTTTCCGCCTCCGTCAGTCACAACAACCCCTCTCTGAACGAGGCCGCGCTGAACGCGTCCGCACCCGCAGCGGATCGTATCGTGTCCTCCAAAGATGAAACCGTGGAGGAGCACGCAGAGGAAGAGGAGCACGAAGGCGTGGCAGAGGAATACAACACCGATGACGAGGAAGGCGACGATGACGATTGGGAGTCAATCTCTGACGACGAAGAAGAGAGGGAGGAGGCGTCCCGTGACGTCGCAACGCCACTGACTGAGAAGTCAGAGGGCGATGCGGCAGCCCCAGTTGTAGACGCAAGCAACGGGACGAGTGACGAGGGATACGAGGAGGAAGAAGCGTTGATGCCCCCGCCAGCGCCACGCGAGCACCCCACCCCACCGGAGCCCTCTCCATCTTCGTCGCTTAACTCCGCACCTCCAGCCCAGCACTCTGCGTTCGATGACGCAGAAATCGAAAGCGGGGTGATGTCCGACGCCGTGCCAGAAGATGAAGTCGAAACGCCAACCAGAGGAAGCGGCTCCTCCGAGGCTTCCGCAGTTGACGACGCGAGTGCACCGGCAGCAGCTGCGGCGGTGGCGGGCGACGTGGAGGACCGCAAGGAGCTGTCGGAGGTTTCTTCCTCTGGAGAAAACGCCGACGAGAGGAGCGCGGAACGTGCGAAGCCAGCCGCAAGCCTGTCCGATATATCCTCGGAACTGTACGATGACAATGATGACGCTTCTTCTTCGAGTGACGCCGCAGAGATGCCCGCTTTGCCGGGGGGAGAGGAGGCAACCACACCAGCCGCTTCGGAGCACTCCGCTCCTCGTGAAGATGCGGCACCCGTAGCTGCGCCGTCTACTGCGGCAAGTGAGGCGGCGGAAGAGCAACGGGCAATGTCGGTAGACGTGCACTCCGCCGAAGAGGGCGAGCAGGGCAGCGATGACAACGCAAGTGAGTTGCCCTCCGCCCACACACCGATGACGAATGCCTCTGTACCCCAAGAAGAGCCGTCCGTGGAACTCCCTGGCGAACCACCACATCCGTCTCAAACTTCTTCTTCACATAAACAGGTAGAAACACAAGAGCTTGGGGATCTGCCGCCGCTAGCAGCAACAGAGTTTCTCTCTGACCGCGAGAGCGAGAAGCCAGTGGAAGAACATGACGAGGAAAGGGCCGGCACATCGACGCAGCCGAGTGAAGCACCTTCTCTCCTAGGTGAGGAAGCGCCGCAACTTGTCTTGGATGCTGCGAACCACGATAGCAGCCTGGACGCAAATGAGGAAAAGGAGGAAGAGGAAGAGGAAGCGGAAAGGTCGGACGCCTCTGCCGCTCCCGAGAGCTTTCACGATGCAGCCGATCTTCTTGAAAGTGCCGAAGATGCCGCGGATGCTTCGGAGTTGTTCTCCGAACCCCCCTCACGCCTCAGTGCGCCCGCAGAAGCAGCGGAGCGAAGTGACGAAGAGGAAGAGGAGGAAAAAGCGGTGGGCAGCTCGTCTGCTTCTGCGTCGCAGCACCTTTCGAACCCGCCAACCTCCGAGCACCCTCGAGAGAAAGACGTGCACTCGGCCAAATCGGAGGCGTCTGAAGCCTCCGCACCGCCACTGCCACTTCCACAGCAGTCCGCACCAGAAATCAGCAATAACGGTGAAGACGCGGTGGCAGAGCTAAGCGAGGTTGCGGCGTCATCGCCCGAGGAATCGACGGAGCTTCTGTCAGCTTCCACGCCATTGTCAGTCATCGAGAAAGAGAGGCAAGAGGGGGACGAAATGCCGGTAGAGACGGCCCCCCAAGCAGCGTTGCATGCCGGCGATGAAGAACAGGCGAAAATGACAGGAGACGTTGAGCTGCCCTCCGTGACATCAGTGGAGAGCGATGAGCAACAAACACCACCTGCTACCTCCAATTTGGTGCACGAGCATAACAACACGCCGGAGGCGCACGACGCAGCCGCTGACGCTAAGGAGCCCGCCGATGTTTCAGAGACGTCAGCAAGACTGACGGACGACGAAGACCTCGTCGTTTCACATGCGCAGGAAGACATCGGCGCCAGCGACGAAAGGCCCGAGAGGTCGGGTCCTGCAGAGAGCGCATCTGCAGAAAGCGCAGCGCAGCAAGCGGAAGAAGTGGAAGAAGATGCCACGCCTCTGTCTCCGCTCTTTGTGCCTGACATGACTGACGAAGCACTCCACCAGTCTACCAACGTGCCCGATGCCGAGGAACACGCACCGTCCCTCCACTGTCATGATGACAGCGGCGTGAGAGCTACGGCAGAAGCAGCAGCGGTCCCTGAACCCCCATTAGCAGAAATTGAACAACTCGACACAGCATCTTCTCACAGAGGCGAAGAGGAAGACGAAGACGCAAGAGGCGGTGAGGCAAACGACAGAGAGACTTTACCCAGCGACGACACGCCGGCTGCCTCCACGCACGAGGCCTCCACACCTCTGCACTCTGCCGCAGCCTCTTCGTCTCATCCGTTGGTGGACGAAGAGGGGGAAGAGGCCGCACCTGTTGCTGATCTTGATGGCGATGCCGCCCCAGCTCTTCACGACTCACCGGAAGACGGCGCCGAGTCGTCCGAGGATCCTGCGCCCAACTTGAAACCCGTGGAGAGTCTCGAAGAGCTGTCCGACGCAGAGGACGCCGGGGAACATCCATCGTCGGTGATGCCCCTGTGGGATGGTACATCAGAGTTGGCGAACGAGGAGAATTCAAAGGAGCCCTCGCCGGCGGTTGCCGCCTCTGAAGGGGGAGAAGTAGAAGAAGCTGGGACTGCGGACAACGGCGCAGACGAAGAAGAGGAAGGACAGGCCGAAGAGACGCACGAAGACGAAGTATCCTCCGTGTCTGAGGGCGATGCGCGTGACGGTGTGCCGCCCCTTTTCGGTGGCTCTGGCGACGCCATGAACCCGTTTACCGCGCACGCCGCCGCCGCCCCTCGCGGGGAGGCAGCTGAGGTGTCTCCCGCTGCTGACTCTGCGCCTGACGCGGAGGAGGAAAGGGAGGGCGCTGGTGAGTGGGAGGAGACGGACTCCACCCCGGCTGCGTCGAGCCACGGCAATCCTTCTGTTACCGTTGCGGGTGCGCCTTCGTTCCCCTTCTCGAACAGTGCAGCCGCCGAGAGCGAGCAGAGCTTTGACGCGGAGGATGTGGTGGACAGCACGCACGCGGGAGCGCCAAGGGCGGGTGTGGAGGAGTGGAGGGAGGAGCTCTCTTCCCAGCCGGAGTCGCCGCCGGCAACGTCGGACGCGCTGGTGGACATCGCGCAGAAAATGTTCAATGATGAGGAGACGCCTGATGTGGATCTGAACGACGGTCGCGATCTGCTCGATCGGCGCCGGGGCGTGGAGGAGGAGGTGCTGGACGACGATTTTGATTTTTTGATTTTTTTTTTGGTTTCCCTTCTCGCGCAGATGTAAGCATATATATGTCCTAGCGTAGAGCTACGTTGTTATTGTTGCCGTTCTTGTATTAGTCTTCCTTCCTGTACCTTTACTTTTCTTTTGCTTACGTAGACCTTTCAAACGTGCGAAACCGTAACGGCTTATGGCGTACAGTTGCTGCATGGATTCGCAGAAGTACAAGCTGTCTGGTTCTTCTGGCGGCATTCGTGTTTTTGAGGCTTCTGCAACTCCAGCAGACAATGAGCTGCACCGCCACCTTCATATCGTCGCTTCTCCTCTTCCTCATTCTTGATGGTTCGCCGGTGCGTCTGCACGGCGCTACACATCCGTGGTCCCTTTTAGGGTGACCCTATTCTGCGCTCTGAAACCCAAAACACCTTCCCTCTTCCACTCTTCTTCGTTTTTTTTTCTTTTGTTTTTGTCCCGCTCGTCACGCACTTCTTTGTGTTGATATATTCTTTTTGCTTGTTTGATC